CGCGCGATGTCGTGCGCGACACCGCTTGCGACAGGATGTAGGTGATTATAGTTAGCGGTATGGACCTATTCAGGGCTCGAAATGAATGGGGATTACGATGAAATCAGGGAAGCGGGATGGTGAGTTGGTATCTATAAATAAAGAAAATCAAGAAGGTAACACTTAAACTCACTGCTCAGATCTACTGTTTCAGGCAAGAACCGAGTCCTGTTTGAGGTTTTAGAGAACCTGCTTTACTTCCAAAAGGAACTTGCAGTACTGGTGGAGCCATATGTCTTCTAGCAGAAATTCCCGGTTAAAAGAGCCCGAGTTCTGAGGTGTGAGGTCGCGCTTGATTTGTCCGAGTTTGCATGTCGTCATCATTTCAATTGCAGTTGTTCGTCACCTTCGCCGGCAGACCATCACTGAATGCTTCTAAATGGATAGCGATGCTTCTGAGCCATCAACGTCAAGCGCTTCGTTCACGAAAGATTCCAACAGAAGCAAACTCGATCGACTAGTGAAGAAAGTGGGACGGAAGTTGTTGCCCAAAGCGGAAGACCATATCTTCGTACCTTCGGCGCTCTCATCACGTAAGCGGTCTTCCTTATCTTTGCATCAACTGGTACAGCAACGGCGACTATCATAATTTGCAAAAAACTTATTCGAGTTTTCGATTTTGTGCTGGATGTCTGGCACTTGATTTTTGGAAGAATATGTATTTTTGGAAGGCTCCCATTATTCAGTAAATCCCATAGCTTACTTGATTATTCGTATTTTTATCTCTAATTAAAATTTACAGGATTATTTACTTAATTACGGGTATATTGAACATACTTTTATAATGTCAACTCAAAGTGTTTACCCTATAGCCCACGAATTAACTGAAACCTTCACTCACCTGAGCGGATAGTTCAACGGTACATCTCCAGGTGTACTAGATACAGTGAAATTCTTGATTCTTATTTTATGGTAGGCTGGATTTTACTGGAAAGTTTCTTTGTATCGTTTGTGCTGAAGCAGTGCAGGTCGCAGAAAGGTTCTTGCTCTTGAAATTCAACTTGTTGTAACAACAAAGCTAGATTGCTAAAACCAAGGCCCGAGGTTTTCCCCTGCCTTCAAATTACTTTGAGCTTTTGTTGGGGCATAGTGACTGTGACTGTTGCCGCACTCATATGTTTGTCTGGAACTCTTCCTACTTGATGAAATCCAAATAGCAGTCGCTGTTCACCTACTACCTTTGCCGTATATGTGTGAGGCATGCGTGCGGCAATCGATTCCGTATGCGTCGCGTTGATGCTTGTGGCTGTAGCGTTCATTTGTTGTTGGTTTGACGCAACGCAACAGTGAATATTGCCTTGTATATCATCTGTATCACCTGGCGACTCGTAATCATCAATTTCCTCGAGGGGGTGCCAATAAGTCAGTCGTTTCTGTCGGGAGCCAGAGCAGTGCACTATTCGATCTCGCTTGAAAGATAAAAGCCGTAGTATTCCTTTCGTTCAGAGCTTTCATGAAGAAATCTAACCATCGCGCTCGCCGTCCTGATGTTTTTTTACATCCCTGGAGATCCAGTCAGTAACCGCTCTGGTCCAACGATGGTCACGGTGTCACATAAACTGTCCGGCCCACCTAGTCTCCGATCCCTTGGCGTAAACAACAGCATCCCTCATCTTTGCTCGTTGACGGGGCTCGTAACTCGCATTCCCTTCTGCACTTGCTTTATAGGGAAATTTTGAGCAGCGTTCTTCCCACAGCGCGCTGAGTTACGCTGACTCGCGTTCATCCTGCTTTCCAAGTCTCTTAGGGGTAACTCATAGCAGGGAGGCCGCGCCAGTGTCGAGAAGGTGAGCGCTGAGCGGATGTTTTGTCTTCTTCGCTGCTCCCTCGACTTTCCTAAATGCTCCACATGCCCTTCATATAAGTAAAATTTTGGAGTCACAAAATCTTCTATGGAGCTGATTATAGACAATGGTACCATGATGAATAACTCAAAGTAATTAAAATCATGTTGTGCTAACTTTTCTCTTATGTGTATCAGTATTCCGATACACATAAGAGAAAAGTTAGCGCACACACATACATACGACTATTATAGCAAGCTCTTCGCGCATGTCGTATTCACCTTCAACGGATGATTCTCGACACTCACCTTATGACGAAGTGGATGGCAGAAAAACTAGTGCACCAGCTTCTAGTACGAGAATTGTATAGTTTAAATTGTTCTAACATTTATTCATCAAACCATAGCTCTTGAACAAACTGACAGTGAGCGGCAAATAGTATGTTTCATGATAAATGCTTTCACAAAGTCCTACTTTTAGTTGCGCCACCACTACCTAGCCTTTTTATCAACACATTTGGCGATGAAGCCGCTGGGTCGGGATACGGATGGCTCACCGATCCGGATGCACCTGAGCCTTACCACGGAGTCGAGTCTGTTATTCGAGGTATACTTTACCCTAGATGAGCCTGAGCGAACTTCTTTTTTTTCAAGTTTGTCATTATTTGTTCGCCAAAGCTGCTGATTGCAGAATAATATACCTGTCGGAATTTTCGAACCAAGATTATCGAAGGCTCTTATATTGTTTTTTTTTCATTTCTTTTCGTTATGCAAATTCAATAATATCCTAGGTGTACGTTTGAACTTCTATAATTTTGATCCGACTAACACTGGAAATTTAGCTCAGCAAATCGGTCTTGATATGGTGAAAGATCGAATACGGTTGACAAAACAAGAGATCGATACCTGCCGTCAAGATCAGCAAATGATTGCAGACTTTGTGGCAGACACTTTCCGTGATGAGTTAAATGCGGTTAGTCACTGAACCCTCATTTCCGCAAACGAATTTAGTTTCTAAGTTCATTAGGGATATGAAAATCCAAAACGAACAAGCTGCTGCTTCACGTCTGGGAAGTCCATCGCTCTCCAGATTTCTAAATAAAGCTTATACTGCTGCGCCTAAGGTTGATTTTGATTTGGAGCTAACATATGATCCAAGAGCTGCACAAAAATTCCAAAAATTTCCAGTTTCACTGAAATTTCGAACATGGGCCATCTGAGAAGTTGGCTCTCGTAAATTTTCCATAAAGTATGCTTGATCTTGGTTAGTGAACTTTCGCTTATATCACTTCTACAGAACCGCGATAAATCGAAAATTCGCGAACTCGTGGAAGATGTGGAACGACTTCAGAAGGAGGTAGATGAACTTCGAAAACTGTCTCCGAGATCGGTACCACCTCCAAGTCAGAAACCACTTCTCTTCTTTTACGCCCTAGGTTTTTGTTTTACTTGCTTCAATTTTCTTTGATTTTATATCACTTGAAGGACCCGCTCCTCCTCATCAACATCTTATATGGCATTGTATACGATGCCTCGAGGGAAACAACATGACGTCTTTTCGATGTAAATGCTCGTTTCCCCGTGTTGCGATTGATCCAAGAGAAGCCGCTAAATGCAAATGTACACACTGTAGCCAAGCAACAGGTGAGAGTCATGCGTAAAGGTTTCGCCTTGCTCCCCACAATTCCAAACATAGAAAGGAACAACTTCAAATTTGCAGTGACATGATGGATAGTCATTTAGCTGGCCGTGCTTCTGCCCCTCCCACTATCGCTGATGGCGACTAGCTGTTGTTCAACAAACTGATCACAAATGGTCCTGCACCACCCTAATGCAGCTAGTCAATTCTAGAGGTTGGCTTCTTTTTTTCCTACTATTCCCGATGTAATAATTCAGGTGAATTAGTTTCGACTGCTGTCACTTGGTTTGGAAGTCGATATTAACATGCAGAGTCGAACACCGACAAGCCCCTCAGACTCCACCATAGGAATAATATCGTTACAAGTCCGAAGTCGTTATCCTTACCTATCGTGAATCGAATTATCCCGACATTTACTTTTCTCGCACATAATTTTACTGCCACTGTAATATTATGAGCATTTGGAATTTCATTTCAGGCCTTGCTCAAATAGTTCACGCTTGAATTATGTCGTGGCAAAAACTGCAACAGCTTCAGACATCGGAATACTTGACGTATGGCATTGTACGGTCTCTAAACACCCGCAGACTTCTTCTAAAAACTCCTTGAAGCCCAGCTTTTGCTCTCTCACGAACCCTGTGTATTTATTACATTGGGTTGGCCTAGCATAATGTAGCCTTGCCGTATCAACCTCTAAAACTCCCGGAGTTGTTTGCGATAGCTCTTGGGAACATACTTCTGATGCTGTATTATAGATTTTATGTAGATTATGTCGGTTTGTTGAACTTTTCTGGAAGAGGTGATTTAATGTTAATATGATAAGTGTAATTAGAGTGTCTCACTTTTTCCTGTGCCTTAATAAAAATTACTCAGTGTGCTTCATTGTTCTAGCTCAGCTCATTTCGTCAACAGTACGATAAATGCTTCTTGACAATTCTTTTTTTAATATTATATTGTTTCTTGTAGTTGTGTTAATTGCTATATTTCCTACTTTTGCTCGATTGATATGAGAATAATATGAAAAAATTGGATCTTGGGTCTATCGGCCATCTTGCCGTGATTCACGTTTCCTTTCCTTCGCATCTGACTCAGGCAGTCGCAGTGATGAGGCAAAGGCCTCAGTCTCTTACTTAGCTAATGTTGGGGTGCGTGGTCTTTTAGTAATTAGTTAAGAAAAGTTGGAATTAGTAGTATAATCGACTTTTTGGTCCGCCTGGGTGGGTGTCCCTCCTCAGCATCAAATAGTGGCAAGGGATACCTTTTTTTCTAAAACAAACTGAGGCGAATTTGGCTGAAAAACTCGGTTTATTGCCTAATTGAATGGGAAGTCACTACGCTCTTGAAGTAGCAGAATAAATCATCCAAATCTTCCAAAAGGCTGAGTGTGCATGTGCTCATTTTCATATTATTGTTATCCTGTTCCGAATGCGAATGATTAGGGTATCCTGGCAGACCCTAACATAGACAGCATTTCTCGGTTTCACCCGACTAGTAGCAGAGGCCAACCCTCTCTCCACATCTTTTCCTGTGAACTATTAGTAGTTGCGATATTCACACAAGAAATAGCCGTGGCGTGGTTTTCGAGCGATATTTCGTAAGAGCTAGTAAGATAGCGTGCTGTTTTTTGAGTTGATAGGAGTTCATATCTGTGACATAAAGTCTTCATAGTCTTTGACATTGCTTCACTCCTTGACCGTAGTCTTGTGCAAACTTTTGTTACACAGTCATTTATTTCTTACTAGATTCACTTTACTTACCAGACGGAGATCTTCTTGTGGAATTATTTGATATGAAGTTGTAGGGTCATAGGGTCGTAGTCGGAAGAGGGCCTTTCAGTGGTACAACTTCGAAGTCTGAAGTATTGGAAGTGACGAGGACTGCATAATCGTAGGTGATATAAATAACCTCTGTGTGCGGATCATGACTCACCTCCCAAATTTATTGCTCGCGGTGACAACTTCGAGGTGGGCTCCTGTCCTTGCAGTGGATGAATGACTCACGTGCTTCCTTCCTACCCCTTTTTTCCTTCCACATGGATATCTTCCGCGCCCCTAGACTTACGTGCTGCCTTACCCCTGGAGCACTTTCTTCCGCATGGATATCTTTCGCAACTCGCAATCTGGCTCCACCGCTAGTTCCTCAACCCCTGCCCCACAGCCTTTCACGGAGGAGGCGCTCAGGTCTTTGATGATGTGGAGGAAACGCAAAGACGGAGTTCATGTCTCACAACCCATGCCATTTAGAGGCACCACAGCCGTCAAAAGCCATTAGCACTCAAATTCCTGACGGGAATCCGGCCCTGAGTTACGTAATAGCTAGAGTCCTGAACCGTGACCTAGATTACTCACGATTCGAGGATCTGTCTTGATTTTTATTTTTTTTCCTTTATTCTCATTTTGTTTCGAGCCGAGGCAGTCGTTTCCGTTAGAGGTCGACATGCGCATAGGATGTGATTCCATCGAAGCAGTGCATTCATTTCATTTCGTTTTCAAGTTAAGAGCAAAACCGTGGTCATATGTTGATTATGGGAATTCAAACCACTACATTAAGCTCATCCGCACTTGCTCAGCCACTAGTGCTTACAGGCTCGTTAACGCAGTTCGGTTACGCTTTCTTACAGATTCTCATTAGTTTTACATTCCTATCAGTTACTTCGTCTTGATCACGATCGAGTTTTATACTTCACCTTTCGTTCGTTTTTCTTTTGGATTAGAGGCGACGTTTTATAATTACAGATGTCAACCGTGGTTGATCAACTAGTCGATATGGGCTTCGAGCGAGCTCGCGCTGAATACGCTTACGCTCAGACAGGAAATGGAGGCTTAGAGCAGGTGATCGGTGTACCTTGTCTAAGGATCAGTCCATGCAACCGCTCACCTTTTTTCTTGAAGAAAATAGGTGAGCTTTGCTTCTGAAGGAAATAGGTGAGCTTTGCTTCCTTACAGGTTATGGATTGGTTGATTAGTCATGAAGGGGAAGAAATCCCGGCCACACCGCCAGAAGATGCCAAACCTGGTGCGACGGATGATAAACCGAAAGAGGCTGAGCTCACTGAATCTACTCCTGGCAGTTATAAATGCAACGAGTATGTATCATAGTGTTGTAGTGACTGCTAAAATTGTTGTTAGTTTCAAAAGCAACCATTCATTTCAGTTGTAATAAGCTTTTTCGTGATGAGAATGGCATGATGTTTCACGCAGCCAAATCTGGCCACGAAAATTTTTCGGAGAGTACAGAGGTCAACCACTTAGACTCATTTGCTCCATTCAAGCATGCTATACTCACCAGTATTCGTGAAAGAATGTGAGATGTTGATGGTTTAGGTCATAGCCGCATTGACACCGGAACAGCGTGCACAAAAAGCAGCTGAGTTGCGAGATAAAATACGAGCTGCTCGTGCTCTGAAGGAGGAACAAGCAAGGAAGGAAGAGGTTCTTCACCTTTCCTTTTTTCTCCTTTATTCATAGAATGATTCACAAATAGATTTTTTTCAACTGGTGTTGCGCATTTAGATAGAGAAAGAACGTCGTCGCCGTGAAGAGGGCAAAAAGATGTTGGAGACCAGGGAAAAACAGAAGGAAATGGAATTGAGGTGAGAAATCAATATAGTCAATATTTTGCAGTTTTGGAGGGTTAGGTTGAGCTTATCATTGTTCGATAGTTTGATCAATGAGCCCGGAGTCGACTAATACGTTTCAAAGCGAATCCGTTTTGAGAAAAAAATATTGGATTTTAATCACTTGTTTATTCACCCTCCTCACAGTTTTTGAGATGGCCCCACATGATGAGTCATGTAGACGACCTTGTGATACATTCTGTTATGAGATATATATTTGAGGGCGATAGCCGAAGAGCGACGTAGAGCGAAGCAAGAGGAGGCAGCTGCACGCCAGCGTGTTTTAGAGCAAATCAAATTGGATCGAGTAAGTTTTCCGATTGTTTTCAAAGATCTTTATAGGGCCAACCCGTACTATGCCAACGTCTCAATACTGTTCCAATCTGATTTCAAGAATAATCTCTCCCTTTTCTCTAGGCTCTACATTTTAAAGGAATTTCAAATCACTTGATCTTGTGCAAGGTCTGCAAGTAATGATCTCTCGTTGTGTACTTGGTCCATTAGAACGGATCATTTTACCTAAAGCTTTCGAGACGTGGTGGTTTGAACTTGTTCATATGCTACTTCAAGGAAGCTCGTAGGGCGAAAGCCAGTGGTCTTCCGCCTCCGGAAGCGTCTGCACCAACCCAAACTTCAGCCCCTGCTGCACAATCGAGCCCTGCTCCAAAAACGGAATATAAAGAGGCAATGATTCAGGTAGTTCACAAAACTCACTTGTGTTTTCATTTTTAACGCTGTTGTTTCCCAGTGATATGCTCTTCAAATAACTATTTGTTGTATAGGTTCGTCTCCCCTCCGGTCAAGCAGTTCGACAAAGTTT